TCCCTTACGGAGACCTGTCTGGAGGAATGTAGCCCACCTGGCCGCGAACTGTCAGACGTCCTGGGTTATTTTTGAATTGATGCAGGCAGGTAAACCCTCCACTTTCCACTTCGTTACGTGATAATTTGATACCGCACCCTCTACCCTAGTTAAGTTTTTACCTCCTCCGCCCACAACTTTCTCCTCCTAGAGGAACCTGTTGAAAGAGAGCGGCTTCATTGAACGGGTCGAAAAATCTGCCCGACTTATTTTTAGAAGACAAAGCTATACTTTATACCCCCCCCCCCCCCGCACCCGCCGCGCCCCAATTACCACTTTTGTTCAAGATTATCGCAATGATACCAGGGAAATAACGAGCGAGGGAAAGAAGGGAGTGTTAATCTATGGCATTAACAGTTAAAAAAATTTTTTTTTAGAAGGTGTACTTGTCGCGCAAAAATAACCAAAGCACATGACCTCCAGGCTTGATCGTCTGCTGCAAGGTATACTTCGGTAATGTGGAAATTATTCTGAAGTCAAGCGTTAATTTTTAGAAATCGTTTGGAATCCTCCGTTGCATATTACACCACATTTCAGTCATTTGTTTGCCAACACATTATTAGAGAGGGAATACTGTAAAACTCTCTGCACGTTATTTTGGAGACATTCGGTCCTTGAAAGCGTCCTATATTGTGCTGATAACGGCGCTTAACTCGATTCAAATTGTCTGTCTTTGTCTCTTGTCTCTGTCTCGGTCTAGACTTGTTGAAGCTAGAGAGGTGACCAGAGTAAGCCTGATTCCCCGTTTGAACTATACTGTTGGCATCCACCCCTTGGCGCTCATATGACCTTATGCAGTTGCGAGCACTGTAAAACCTTACTAAAACTAACTGTTTCTGTCTCTGCCTCTGTCTCTGCCTCTGCCTTTGTGTCTGTCTGTCTGTCTGTCTGTCTGTCTGTCTGTCTGTCTGTCTGTCTGTCTGTCTGTCTGTCCCCCCCTCTCTCTTACCTACCTCTCTGTCCCCACATCTCTCTCTCTCTCCCTTTCTCTCTCTCTCTCTCTCTCTCTCTCTCTCTCTCTCTCTCTCTCTCTCTCTCTCACTTCTTCTTTCATTCCCCATTCCTTCCCCTCTCTCTTTCAGCCAACCCATATCTTTGTCTCCCTAACTCCCTCTGTCACTCTGGCCCCGTTTCTCTTCCTCTTCTTCCCCACGTGTTCGTCCATCCGAATTCCACCTGGTATGACGTGTACTTCCCCATATTTCCTGCCCTCACAAAATCCCCCCAAACAACTCACAGCGCTCTATTTTTACCCACCCGGTAAGACCCGCTTGCACGGAGTAATGTCACCTTGTGATTTAGGAGCCGCGGTAGAACTTTGAATGTGCAGAGATAAGTCCCTCGACTTCCTAACCCGTTTGTCTGCTCGAGGTGGATGTGTTTGTTCAATCTTCGTTTTTTGGGGACAGCGGCTCCTCATTGTGTTTTCTCTGCTCTTCGCTACGACTTCTGGTTTTATTTCGGTGGTCAATTCCAGTGTGACTTGCAGTAAAGGTTGACGATCTCGTGATCGTCTTTTATTCTGGTGTGTAATTCCCGTTTGACTTTTCCCGGAAAGTTTATCATGTGGCCTCAACGTTGTGTTTTATTCAGGAAATTCCGTTTTGACATGCAGTAAAACGATCGAGGGTTATTCTTCCCGACATCTCGTCTTATTCAGTTTGTTGTCCTATATACGTGACATTACTCCGTCATCTCTATTATAAAAATGTTTACTTCCTGATCAACGTGCTGTCAACTGTAAATAAATATAGGTCGCGACAACGTTTCGTTCAATACTCGTGCAATGCCAGGGATCGTTCAGTCGTTCAGACTTGATTAGTTTCAGCGACGCTATGTTTTAATTAGTTATTTGATTTCCGATAGATTGTCACTTTAATATCTTAGTAACTTGCGATAACCTGTTTTTATTCTAGGGACATGTGTATGTTCTGACCTATTGTGGGCGGCTCAGGTAGGTTGTATTGCATGCTTTGAAACTCCCGGTGATACGTTAGCTGAACAGGTATCATGCTGTGCTGCTTTGTTGGTATTTTGATTTGAATCCTTGGCGGGTTGTACTTGAACTTGTGTTGTTTTGGAAGCTTTCATAGGTCTTCATCAATTATTTTGATGCATTCGGAGTCAGATGAATGATAAAGGTAGAGGTCTCGTCTCACAAATAATCTTACTTCATTGAAAGGGATGTTAAGCCCTCACCATGTCGTACCTTTTGTTGGACCGGATAATTTATACAGTGGGAAAAAAGCACGACGATTCTTTAGTGCTATTTTTTTCTTCAATTGCAGGTGATTTTCACACCTCAATCGACACAATTTCGATCATGTAGGAGGCAGGCTTCGACCCTGCCTGGCCAGGCCAACCCGGTCTGAAAAGAATGCCACGTCCCAGCAGGAAAACTGAGACACTTGATAAAAATTGTCCCCACACAGAAATCAAACGCATCAGGCTTCCTGCATGCGACAGCGAAGCGTCCTTCTACTGCACCATATAATGTGACGGGAACGCATCATGGGTTTACGGGGAATATCTCATCGATAACAAACTCTTCTTAAAGGAACAATTTAAAGGTAACGTTTAGCGGCCTGCTGGGCCTACTTTAGGTCAATCGGCCTATTGTATTGCTTATTTCCTAGAACAACACCTTGTTTCAGTTATCTCCGTAATATGGCAAATTCTAATTCAAAGAATTTATCCCAATTCTTTGTTGTTTTTAAAAGGTGTTTGATATATCGAGAACGCCCGTCTTGAACTATCAAAATTTATATATTCGGTAAGCTGAACAGGACTCGAAGAAGAAGACTTATAATATTATTACTGCAGGTCTTGATCGAAGTTTAGATAAAATGACATGTCAAGATAACAGCACGTAGAATGTTGATCTTTTTTTTTGTAAATCAGTCTATAGCATTACTAAGACTCTTGTGGGCATGTAGGACTTAGCCTACTTTTTGTAGTAGATCGGTTGCTCTTTCGTCTAGCTAGCGTTACTCTTACGTTATCTTATGTAAACATTGGACCAACCTCCTCCACCTCCCACCCGTCCACAAACACACACACACACACACACACACACACACACACACACACACACACACACA